GTGATTTTTTTTTTATACAATTACCCATGTTAAGATATATGACCGCTTTGGAATACTGGGTGCTTTAACCTAAGCTGTACGGGTGGTGTAATGAAGAAAACACTTGGAATTGGAAGTCGGTGACCCAAGTTTCAATTGCAATCGGCTTCTTTACATTCACTTACGCAGGTAAAGTATAAACAAAACTTCTCTCCCCCAGCTATGGATTAATTAGTAGGACTTCTATCGGTAAATTTGTGTTATTTTTAATATACTTTTACGACGAAATTTTTTTACTAGTTTTAAATATCCGGAAAATGGTTGACAATCCGTAAAAAAACAAATTAATTCAATCAAATTACCATCTCGACTGTACTCCTTTGACTTGAGCGGCCCTCGAACTTTGTATTCAGTGAAACTTTAAAAAAAAAATGATCAACTTTGATATATGATATATATCATATATTTACACTATTAGCATTATTTGGATTATTATCCTCTTCTTTGTCGCCTTATCACAACGTTTCGGTCGTTGTACGCTCCAGCCTTCTTCAGGTGATTGGAATGTCGAACTGAACGCTTTGGGCCCTGTCACTGGATCTAACTAACGCCTTTATCCTGTGCCATGTGTTCTTGGGTGTGAGTTCAATACCTGATTAAGGCAGTGGAAAAATTTCAGAGGGGATAACCGAAATTCATTTAGACATGGCACGTGGAACTAGAACAGTCTACCCCAGTGAGCGAAATAAAGGGTTCAGTTCGACATTCCAACCACCTGAAGAAGGCCGGAGCGTACAACGGCTGAAACGTTGTGATAAACATGGCGACAAAGATGAGGACAATAGTTCGAATAATGTAAAAAGAAATGTAGATAATACCTCATCTCAGAAATATAGACAGATAATGATATATTTAGTTAGCATATTGTGTACGGCATCCCTGGGTAGGATAGAACTTACCACACAAGATATGGTCTTTGAGTAGAGGTATGAGCAATCGTTCTATGGTTGGTGCTTGGGTAAAATTCAGTGGTATGGAACGCTTGCAAAACTGGTCAAAACTCTCCTTTGCCTTTGGCTAGTGTCTTTGCGATTCACTTGTAGAAGCTTCACTGCAGGTGATGGCTCAGTGTTCAATTCGCTATTTGCCTCCAAGGTAGCCAGCTGTTTCAATTCGCTATCGCAATGTAAGCATAATGTTGTGGATGCTGTTGTTGATTTTGGCTTCCCAAAAGAACTTCTAAGAAGACATTCCCTTTCTCGCTCAGGGGAAGCTGATGGCTGATGAAGCCAGTACCGAACAAGTTTGTCCGGCCACAGAAGCTTCAGGCAAAGGACTGCGAAACAAGATTAAAGAAATCTATCTCTCTATCTATATATATTTTTTAGCGAAATTCTGGTTTTACGGATGTCTCTTCTCCTTAATATTATTTCAGAGGCAATTTTCCTTCAATAAAGAAGGAAGCCGGGGAAACTGTCGCCATGTTTTCTTACCCGCATCCTGTGCTGCCTTCTGAGGTTAATTGAAAGTAGAGGAGATTAATGTCTTATCTAAAGACCACATTAAATTCAGTTTTTAAATTCCATACATATGCATACATAAATTAAGTGACGCCATCCAAGCTCAATCTATCTATCCATCTATCTATGTACGTTCTTTGACTGTCCGTCTGTCTGTCTATCTATCTATCTATCTATCTATCTATCTATCTATCTATCTATCTATCTATCTATGTTCATTCTCATTGTAATTATATCTGTCTATATTAATTATATCTATCTACACACACATATATATATATATATATATATATATATATATATATATATATATATATGTGTGTGTGTGTGTGTGTGTGTGTGTGTGTGAGAGAGAGAGAGAGAGAGAGAGAGATAGCTACCTATCTATATAACTTTCTGAGACTATTCTTCATGCATTTATTCAAGTTTCTTCATTATCTATATATCTATTTATCTATCTATGTATGTTCATTCTCATTGTAATTATATCTATCTATATTAACTATATCTATCTACACACATATGTATATATTTATAAATATATATATGAATATACATACATATATATATATATATATATATATATATATATATATATATATATATACACGTATATCTATCTAACTTTCTGAGCCTATTCTTAATGCATTTATCACAGTTCCGTCATTATCTATCTATCTATCTATCTATCTATCTGTATCTATCTATCTATATATATATATATATATATATATATATATATATATATATAGCGATAGAATCATATTTTAAATAAATAATTATATATATATATATATATATATATATATATATATATATATATATGCATGCCTCTGTGTGTGCATGTGTTACTGTGTAGGTAATTATATCCGGAACAAAAGTGAAGATAAGGAGACAAATTTACGTCGATATCTGTTTGAGTCCACTTCTTCAGATCAAAATGAAAGACAAAACTCTGTGTAAAGAAAATCAGTTGGAATTTTAACGATAAAACGGGCTTTAAATTAAATTACCTTGAATTAAGCAACCAAAAAACACGTTTGTTTATTAGTCTGTTACACACACACACACACACACACACACACACACACACACACACATATATATATATATATATATATATATATATATATATATATATATATATATATATATATATTTATGTATATATAAGCATATAGAGAAGTAATATGAGTAAATATGAGTAAATGTCTGTCACTTAGCGGAGTGATGTAACGTTCAGAATCCCGATTCCAGAGTTTCGTGGGCGGACACTCTTCAGAAACATCCAGTAATAAAAAAGAATTATTATATGACAATCACAGAGATATGATGAATAACAACGATGGATTTGCGGACATATGTTCATATGAACTTTTGCCTTTGTTCAGTGTGAGGAACCAGTCTCCAAAGTCTTTTTGTTACACCATATATTATATATATATATATATATGTTTTTCTGTTTTCTTTTTAAATTTGTAAGTCTGATGAATTGGATCGTATTTACGATTCCAATGGAATAAATTATGACCATGGAATATTAGTGTTTAAGCCGTTTTTTTATATATATATATATATATATATATATATATATATATATATATATATATATATATATATATATATATATATTGCAAAAAACTTCAGATAAAGTTCATCTAAGGACGACATGTATAACGACAATAGGAAAACTTATCTTAGCAGACGCGTTTCATTTTCTGAAATAAAAAAACAAAAACAAATCAATTTCCATCCTTGAAGATGTCTGTATGAACAGACGAAACGTGTAAAAAACTAAAACAGACCTTATGCAACTGGAATTTATAAACAGGGATCATAACATTCATCTACAGGTTCGGGGTTAATGTACTTTATTAAATTTGTTTGCGAAGATGTATTCACGCCATTTAAATAATTAACTTCTATATTTGTTTTTGTATGAATGATTCATGTAATACATACATATATATATATATATATATATATATATATATATATATATATATATATATATATATATACACATACACACACACACACACACATATATATATATATTGTACGCGGATGCTTACAGAGAGTGAAAGTGATAGAGAAGACAAGGTATAGAGGGGTTTGAGGAGAGAACATGGACGCCAGTTAGTATAACTCATAATATTAATTCATTATCAAAACCCAACGTGATATTGATTTAAAAAAATACCTTATTTTAAAAACAACACGAAGTCTTATCTATCCTCCCTATCCTCATTATCTTCACTTCCTGTTACTTGCTATCTTCATATTTCAGGATTATTTTATTAAACCTTTATCTTAAAGGTTCTTGTATTGGTGAATATTAGTAAAAAATAAATAAAACGATTGAGTGTAGAGATTTTACTCTCGGATGCTGAGAATGCCTTGTACAAAGCATGCGAGCCATGACAATTTTTTTTAGAAAATCAGTGACTGCAAAGAACCATTGATAACAAACTGACAAGATTTGAATATATGGTAACTATAACGAGGAAAGAAGTTTTGGTAAATTTAACACGCTCAAGGCATGTTGGTGGTAAATGAAGCAGGGTAAAAGCAAAAGAGGAACCTATTTGATAAGATTGAGGTAAAAGAGCCCAAAGACAAAGAGAGGTCGTAAATAGAAATGATACCAAAAATAAACTTGACGACAGTTTACCGGGCAGATAGATTTAGAGACAGACAAGCCACTTAAATAAAAACAGTTGACTACAATGAATAACTGACTGAGGTAATGATGAAAACTCTTAACAATATTTTGACAAGTAAACCTCAGATCTCATTGAACGAACGGTTCACCACAATTGAACAACACATACTACTTTATCTTTAATTGTAATTAGATTGAATATAATTGCTTATTGAATGCGAATCAAGCAGAATAATAGACGAGGTTATCTTGTTTAAATTATAAGTTGTTATTCTTATAATCTCTTTGAATTAATTCATCTTCACCAGAATAATGAGGCTTACAGACATAACACGCTGAAACTACGGCTCTTGCACGATTATCGAAGTAAAGCAACGACATGAAGAAGAAGAAGAAGAAGAAGAAGAAGAAGAAGAAGAAGAAAGTCGACGACGAGGATAAAAATAGGAGGGTTAAGACGACGATTGGTGAAGAGGATAAAAATAGGAGGATTAAAACGACGATGGATGAAGAAGAAGAAAATCGACGACGAGGAGAAAAATAGGAGGGTTAAGACGACGATGGGTGAAGAAGAAGAAGAAGAAGAAGAAGAAGAAGAAGAATGTCGACGACGAGGATAAAAATAGGAGGATTAAGACGACGATGGTGAAGAAGAAGAAGAAGAAGAAGAAGAAGAAGAAGAAGAAGAAGAAGAAGAAGAAAGTCGACGACGAGGAGAAAAATAGGAGGGTTAAGACGACGATGGGTGAAGAAGAAGAAGAAGAAGAAGAAGAAGAAGAAGAAGAAGAAGAAGAAGAAGAAGAAAAATGTCGACGATAAGGAGAAAAATAGGAGGATTAAGACGACGATGGGTGAAGAAGAAGAAGAAGAAGAAGAAGAAGAAGAAGAAGAAGAAGAAGAAGAAGAAGAAGAAGAAAAGAAGAAGAAGGAAGAAGGGGGTGAGACGACAAGGAGGAGAAGAAGAAGAAGAAGAAGAAGAAGAAGAAGAAGAAGAAGAAGAAAGCGGACGACGACAAGCAGAAGGAGGACAAAGACGACGACGAGAAGATGATAAGGACGATGACGACAAGAAGGAGGAGGATGACGTCAACAACGTGAAGGAGGACGAGGACGACGACGTCGAGATGATGATGAAGAAGAAGCGGACAACGATGATTACGAGAAAAAAAGAGGAGGACAACGACAAAAAGAAGAAGAGGAAGAAGAAGGAGGAGGAGGAGGAGGAGGACGACGACAACGACGACAGTGGCGACGAGATGATGAAGAAGAAGCATAAGAAGAAGAAGGGCGACAACGAGGAGGAGAAGGAAGACTACGACGCCGACAAGAAGTAGCAGAAGAACAACGAGGAGGAGGAGGACGAGGACGACGAAAAAAATGGAATAGGGACGACAAGAAGAAGAAGAAGAAGAAGAAGAAGAAGAAGAAGTCCACAGCTCTCTTATAAAAATTAACTTTATAAATTTGTCCGCCTCTATTATTTGCCTTAACTCCCATTTATCGGCCACACTGTCCTGGGAGTTAACAACGACTCGAGTTATACAGTTGACTAAATGAAATAAATTTAATTGACTAAAATAGTGATGCAATTTCGTCAAAATATGTTGACAAGTGCAACTCCATTTGAACGGTCGGATCACCAAAATTGAACTATTGTTACTACTTTATACACTATTAATAGTAATTAGGTTAAATATGATTGCTTACCGACGGCGGATCAAGTCGAAATATAGGCGAGGTTATCTTATTTAAATTATAACTTGTTAATCTTAGGTTGTCTTCGAATTCATCTTTGTCACAGGAATAATCAGGCTTACAGCCATATCACATTTAAGCACAGGTTCTCGTCCGATTACAGAAGTTAAGCAACATCGTGTCTTTTCAGTACCTAGATGGGTGACCACATGGGAATATCAGGTGCTGTAATCTTGTATGTGCGTGTGGTGGAATGAATAATGGCTCGGAATTGGAAATTGGATTAACGGTTTCCAAATCCAATCAGCTTCTTTATATTCACATACGTGCGAATTATCCTTGGGAAAGGTATGAATCCATCTCTTCACCTCGGCTCCAGATTCAAGAGTTAATTCGTCGAACTTAAATCATTATTATTGCCCATACATTCTAACAATCTGAAACGATTTTCTGGCTTTAAATAACCTGGAAAAGGTAGATAAGCCGTAAAACATATGGGTTAATCAATCGCCAGAATAATCCAGCACTGAACGTGTGTTTATCAATTCCATTTAGTTAACTCTATTCCGTGTCCAGGACATCGGATTCCTGATAAAGTGTAGTCAAGTCCGGGATTTTTCTTTTACCAGGATCGTCGTTGATAGCGACGACAGGGCAAAATCAATGCCCGGCGCATGCTGTGGGCGAGTCAAGAGAATCATCTTTCAGTAATCCAAGCAACAGTCTGTCATCGGTGAGAATCATAATCTAACGACGCACAAATACCTCTGAGTGATCATCAATTGAAAAGAAACGTACCTGCCTCTACCAACAGGCATTTTGCCAGTGAAGCAAGGTAGTTGCCTATTCCTTCGCATGATCTTGGGAAGGCTTACGTCCAAAACAGGACCGTCAGGGTCTAAGAAGAAGATAAAATATTGTTTAATTCGGAAAACTCTGCATTCGGGATTTGCCTTGACTCCTATTTATCGGTCACACAGTCCTGGAAATTATCAACTTTTTTCGAAGCCGACTAAAACAGTGATGCAATTTCGTCAAAATATGTTTACAAGTGCAACTCCATTTGAACAGTCGGATCACCAAAATTGAACTATTGTTACGACTTTATACACTATCAATAAAGACATTTTTATGTTTAACGTTGTTATTTATAGATACAAGTATTTAAGCAAATGCTCTGTTTATGATAAACAGTATTAAATAACATTTACCGGCCTGAATGTCCGAGAAATTTTCATAGAAAATATTCGTTCTTTGACAGGATTCGAACCTGCATCCTATAAAAATGCCTTTAATAAATAAATTGTCGGACCTTGTTTATCATAAACAGAGCATTTGCTTAAATACTTGTATCTATAAATAACAACGTTAAACATAAAAATGTCTTTAATAAATAAATTGTCGGACCTTGTCCATTTCTTAACACACTATTAATAGTAATTAGGTTAAATATGATTGCTTATCGATGGCGGATCAAGTCGAAATATAGGCGACGTTATCTTATTTAAATAATAAGTTGTATTGTCTTTGAAGTCCTTCCTCGTCACCGGATTTATCAGCATACATGTGTTTAAAATTTCATTTAATCAACAGTTTTATTCAAATCGTACGATCACCGAAGTTAAGCAACATCGAGCTTGG